ACACTATCGCAAACCGGGATCGTACAGACCGTCCAAGATGTGCGTCGACCGCGTGGACGAGCAGGATCGCTCCGAGAGACGGCTACGCCGAAAGACGCGGGAAGAACTCATCGACACGATCCTGGGAGAACCGACGGTCGCGCGACAGCTCGCCAGAAGGGAGGCCGAGCACGGGCTCGACCGCGACGACGACGACGACGACGACGGCGGCAATTACCGCCGCGACAAGTACGACGATCTGAGGTATCCCAACGACGACGACGACGACGACGACGACGACGACGACGACGACGACGACGACGACGACGACGACGACGACGACGACGATCCCAAAGACGATCAGCAGCTCGACGATTCGGAGTGATCCGCGACGGCGCGGTCTCGCACGCGCGGTCGCGACGACTGCAACGCGCCCGCGCGAGCGCACGTGCCGTCGCGCACGCGTCCACGACGGAGGTCGCTTACGCGCGCGCGCGTGTGTGTCTCGAGAAGTATCCACCGGCAGCGATATCGACGCCCATGGACTATCTCGAATCACTCTCGCAGCGCGCGATCGAAGCGGAGGGTCAGCACATCCGCGAGAGACGCGCGACAATCTCTCTCACTCTACGCAGCGACAGGCTGGGGGAGTCTCGCGCGGTCGTCTCTATGGATCCGCTCGCGCGCGACAAAGAGAGGAGCACTTGGCCCCGATCCTTCCGCTCTCTCACGCGCCGCTCGAGCGATCCGCGCGCGCGCGCGCGCACGATCGTCGGGTGCGCGTCGCCACGCGGTGTCGAACGATCGGCGAGATCTCGAACGAGAGCGACGATCGATTTAATTCGAAGCCGCCACCGCGACGCAAGCGCGCACCTACGCGCGTTCTCCACGCGTAGGTCGCGATGACCCTGACGTACGCGGAATTTCTCGCCATGTGCGACGATCGGAAGAGGTTGCTGGACTTTCTCCTGCGGCGCGGAACGATCGCGGGTGAGATGCGATGCGGCAAATGCGACGACGCGACGATGCGACTCAACAGAGCCACTCTGACGTTTCGTTGCAGGAAGCGACGCGCGACCAGGGACGGGCACAAGAGACGCGTCTCGAGGCAGTGCACGTACGAGAGGAGCTCGAAAGCGGGCA